GGTCATATTCTAATGAAAAAAAAATGAGATAAAATAACAAATAAAAATTTTAAAGAAAAAATAAAAAAAAAAATCGTCCTTCCGCACACAAAGAGAAAAAAAAACCCAATATTATTTTGTTATTATTTTTTTTTATTTTGAACACAAAAATAACCAAGAAATACCATAGAATAAGGAAAAACATTACAAAAATTTTCGTACCAATACCAAAACGCAACCGGAAAAAAATGAATAACTTTTTGTTGGTTGTTTTTAAGGAATGCGTAAAATATTTCAAATTTTCAAACGTGGCTCCAATAATTCTGACTTTAGAGTGCATTCGTGTAAAAGAAAAAAAGCATAAAAGGCAATTTCATTCTTTTCATTTTATTTCTTTCCCACATTCTCCTCAAATAGTGCTGCTAGCCAATTTTAATTTTGAATTTTTTTTTTTAATTTAATTTTTACTTTCAAAAGTTTTTTTTGTAATTTTAATTTTAAAAGAATATTTGGGGCGTGTAAAGATGAAAATCTCATTCTTCCATTTAATAAAATTTATGATTAAGTGTTTCCAATTACAATCAAAATTTCAACATGAAAAAGTTTTGAATTTTCATCTTTCATATATCGGATGTTGACCATTATGGTTCCTGTATTATATTGTTTAGGTTTATCATATGTTTCTTAAGTTTATATCATATTCATTTTAATATTAAATATGACACAATATGACCAGTTATTCACTTAAAACTTTAAATTGTGCGTTAATAATTTTTGAAGAAATTTGCAAAGCATTTATAAGCAAAATATTATTTAATTCTTATTTTATCCAGACAATATAATTAACATGACTTTTTAAACATATATGAAAGCTGATATACTAAATATACTAAAATTCGCATACTAAAATTTTAAAAAATTTACCTAAATACTAAAATAAATAAATAATTAAGAAACATAAAGAGTACACAAGTACCCGAGTGTGGGCTCTATAATTTTCGAAACTATTTTCGAAGCAAATAAAAATAGTGATCCACAATAAAATTTGAATTCACAATGAAATCTAATAAAATTAAAATAGTATTTTAAAAATTTAAGCGTTTTAACTGGAGTCACTGTTATACTTCTTGACGTTTAAGTTAAACTGAAAATCTTATATTATTATATACCTAATACTCGTATCGAGCCTTGGAATACATATTTATTAAAAATTTTAAAAATTTACTAGTTGTGTTGTAATTGGAAAAGAATTTAATTTTGCAAAATCTAAAAAAATTATTCATAGACCCTTTTTCTGTTGTATTCCTTACGTTAAAAAAATTTTTTTTTGAGAATCGTGACATTATTTTTTTCATGGACCACCAATTATATTAACTAAAATATGAAGAGTTTCGAATTACAAAAAAAAAAATAAAATAAAAATTACTTTCTATCCCTCTTTTTCCCTTTGAAATTTGCTATTAATCCACAAACTTGACTTAGCTTCTTATTATAAATTTATTTTAAGCAGCTGATTGCTTTGCATTAATCAAAAAAAATGTATAGTCTAAAAATAACACTTTTCCCTTCAACAAGTGAAAATTCTGCTTTTAAATACAGTCTATGTATATCCAGCACACTATTAAAATTATTTTCATTCATATACAAAACTATTTTTAGGATTGCATATATTTAGGATGAACGATTTATGCCTTCTTTGAAATAAAGCAAAAATTAAAACTGTGTAAGCTAAAAACTGTGTACCAAAACAATTAAATTAATCGTATAAAAACCATCTAATACAGAAATAAATAATATGTATACTGTCTTCTGCTAAATGTATGCAATATAATTGCATTATTATGAGAGTGAGACTGCAATGAAATTTTAAATGTTTTTTTTTCAGCAAATACCTATATTAATTGATTATTTCGTAAAGACATTTAACAGTTTAAAAGAAACGATCCAGTTTGTGAGCCCTTGTCTTCAAATGAATTTCTGCTCGAGTTTATGATGTACTCCCTAAAAACCCGTATTAAATTCAATATTAAATTTTAATGCTTCCTGTAAATCAATTTTTTATCGAGTTGCAAAAAAAAAATTTTAATTTTTTCCTTTTATACTAACTACTTTGTAAGAATATCTTACAAGGGTTTCCTTTTTTCATATTAAACTACTCGTGTATATTTATACTGATAGTGGTAATAGTTTCAGAAATTTCTAATATTACATCATTGCGTTTACTTTCATCTTTTCTTCTTATTTTTTTTTTATCAAATTCAACTCAGTAAGTAAATTTATTGATTTGATGATTGTAGTCAATTCTTCAATAAAATACCATAAAGAGATGTGCAATAATTCTAATTTCTAGAATCAGCAAAAACGAAAAGTTTCTTTTTTAAATAAATTTGAATCGAACCACGGGTTTGTAAAGAGGCACATTTACCGTGAATATATCTTCTTTTTTTTTGAAGAAGCTATGCTACTTCAATAGTTCTCAGTAATCTAATAGCCTAATTATACCGTAAGTATTAAATTTTATACCGTAATTATTAAATTTTATCAGCATGAGAACAAAAGAATATTTGAGATGACAACTATAATTATGTTAGTTAAAATAAAATAATTAAATATATATACAATGTTTTGGTAGAAAATACTAAAGGTTTCGGAGTATAAAGAGTCGAAAATGTAAACATTTCTAATTTCGGGAGGTCATAAATTAGATAGTTAGTTAAACAATTAATTAATTTCTACGATCCGTTCTTCAAATGTAAGAATTTTGCAGGTTATCGTTCTTTTCGATGATACGATATTGAAAAAAAAGACTAACCAATTATAGATTAACAAATAATTTCAATGACCATTTTGTGATTTTAATATTTTTCTATACTGTTTCGTATTAGAAATTCGTGATTTTGCTCTGTTTACGGCTTTTAAGAATATTTGTGCTGCTCAAAAACTTCCACTTTTTTAACTTTCAGGGGCTCTAACTTTTATTCGAAGGAAAGGTAAGTAAAACATTTTGAATTATTTTTAAGAAATTGTCAATAATTGTTTTCTGGCAAAGACCTATTTGTATTGAGCTTCGACTTTCCATTTTAAAAGTTGTATACGTTTTGTTAAAAAACCACACGAACGAACTGGCAGACATAAGCACATTTTCTTCTAATTTAATTGGAATTGCACCTAAAAATATGAAAAAAAAATTCAATCATAACATTTATCTACATTATTCTTAGTTATTTTCTTCTTAATGTAGATAAAAAAATGATTTTCCATGACATCAGCAGTTACAATTTTCTTTATCCGTATTTTCTTACTTTCATCCGATTTTCATTTTTTCTTCTTTTTTTTTTTTAAATATATTGTTGCAACAATAGAATATTATATTTTTTTTTTATTCAATTGTTATTGGGATTCTTTTACAAATTCAAAGTAAATATCTTAACTTGAAAATTCGAAATTGAAATATTATGTTTGTGGATATACATGCATATACTAGGTACATATATATCAGAAACATCATAAATGCAGGGTTTTAAAAGAGTATATATTGTAATATGTAGAGAGAAGGGAGTAACACAATAGTTAATGCTTTGATCAAGTGCATGCAATTTAACTCTTTTCTTCTGATTATGAATAAATCTACAAATAAGAAGAAAATCATATTTAGAAAATATAAAACGATAAAATTTATGAATAGCTGATGCGAATTATATATAATTTAAATATTTAGTTTATTTTACAAAAATTACAATAATGTAGCTTCTATATAAAATATTATTGATCCGATTTCATTATTTTAAAGGAGGTTCCCTACTGCAATTTATTTTCCATATTAAAATATGTATAGAAAATAAATTTAATATGTTTGTACATTTGCCTTGATTATATTTCTTCAAAAACTGTCCAATGGAGATCAATCAAAAGAAATTATTAGGTGGATGTGAATCATAATCAAATCATGAAAAAAGTTTATCAAAAGGCCATAAATTAAAATTTTGATTCCATAAATCATAAAATGAACTTCTAAAATGGTTTAAAGTTACCAACTTATATTAATGTTTGGTCACGCTATTTAGATACCTCAATTTCGATGAAAAGCCTTGCATATCGAGGAAATGTAGAGGTTTACTGAATTATTAATACAACGTCCAGTTGTTTTAATTAATAAGTATTTTGTCTACATACATACTAATAATATTAACTCAATGGAAATTGCTTCATACAACTGCAGAACAGATAGTGGACGTAATCGAAGGAACAAATTAAATGCAGAAAAATTAAAAAATTTTTCTCCTCGAACTGGACTCGAACCAAAAACCTATCGCTTTCTAGGCGGACGCTCTACCAACTGATCTAGAAAGGTATGAAGAAATTGCCGACTAATTATATTATGAATTTACTACTACAACATCATAGTTGCGAAATTAATAAATAATTTGCTTATTACACTAATAATTTTACTAAAATAACAAACTAAAGCATGAAGAAATTTGCCGACTAGTTGTTCTTCACATTGCTTTATACTGTTTAAGTTCTGCAGTTGTATGAAGAAATTTCCATTGAGTTAATTTAGAGGTTTGTTTATGTGTATAGTAAATTACACATATTGTCATAATTGTAAAAAACGTGTTTATTTCAAAATGAAATTCTAGCATATTATACATTGCCACCGGTAACTTCAGAACAAGGTAAGGTTTGTGGATCAGATATTGTCAGAAAGTAGTAGCTTAAGCTATTGGATATTCGAAATATGGAAAAAACATATTATATATTAGTAATGAAATGACGAACGAAATAAGTAGTTTAAAATTTAATGTTAGACGTCATGCGAACGCTAATAAGTTCTGTTTTCAACGCAGTAAGGTTGAGTAACTGATTAATTTTAAACTACTTTTAAAAGAAAATAGCAGCATTTTAATCTCCTTCACATTTTAGAAACTCCAATAAATCACTAGTAAAATTTATTTTTTTAATTTCGGAACTATATTTTTATGTACATATTTCATTATGAAAATAAACAAATAAACTTTAAGTTCGTTATTTTATTAAAAAACACAAAACACAATGACATTTTCTATAATATTAATAATTACTTTAAATAACATCATCATCATCTGTTCTTTTTGCAAAAGTTTTTATTTGCTTGTGAGGTGACGGTGGTGTAAATACTTGTTCTCCATGTTCATTACGATAATCTTCAAAATTCATTTCATGCAAACAAACCATATTTAATTTTTCACATAATTTAATTGAATATACGCTAGTGCAATCTAGTGTAATTACAGGATATTTTAAATTTTTACAAACTTTTATAAATTCTTTTAACATTTTTAAACCAATCGATTTTCCTCTTGCATTTTGATGAACAGCCATTGCATGACAATGTACAGCACTTTGACAATTAAAATTTTCAAAAACATTTGATTTTAATTCTAAATAACTTAAAAGTTTTAACATTTTTGACCATTTCATACTTTTTACTGTATTTGATGCATCCATTAAGTGTTCAGCTTCACCAGGATATTTTGGACCAGCAATTAATGCACCAAGTAAATTTCTGGCATTTATTGTATTTGTCGTTGAGTTTATTTCAGAGCCATTATTTTTAATATCACTACTAGTTTTTACACTAGTTGCATTGTTTTTATCATCCTCAGCATAAGCGATAATACAAGTGCCATGTTTAATACAAGACATATTAAATTCTTCATCTTCATCAGCTTGTTGAAATGGTTTCAGTGCTAAAGTTAATGGTTCTTCTGGATAATATGATTCACGTAAAAATCTTAGAATGTCATTACAATCAGATTCAATTGCAGCACATACTTTAATATCAGACATTTTTTATTCACAATTTAACTTAACAATAATAGTAAAACAAAATTCTTATTGAAATTTTATTCAATTTTTTTTAGGTTTAGTTGAATCACATGGAAATTTGCCTGAAAATAAAATACACTAATTCAAAATCATCCTATTGGCTTGACGTATCAGCTGTTACTGTTGAGTATATCATAAATATTTAATAAATTTCTCAGAATTTTTTTTTATCTTTTGTTATATTCATAGTATTGTTGTTAATCTGATCGTGAATCAACACACAGCATATTATACAACAATGCCTGCGGATAACACATGTGAAATTCTTAACGTGTATGAGTATACAATTCAGTGTTGCAACCACAGTACATTAAAAAGTAGTAAAAGTTACTTTTATATTCAAACTACTTTAAAGTAGAAGTTTTATTTTATTTTAAAGCTATAATATAGGTTCGGTTTTAAGAGATTGGCGAAAAATTTTAATAAGTAGTTTACTAGTTTAATATAAAATTAAAAACTACATCAAAAATAATAATTTTGTATTATATTTTATGTCATATTAATCATCTAAATCATTAAATATCATCTAAATATTAAATATTACCTAATTAATAATAAATAATAAATATCATAATCCTCGGAATTCTCTCAAATATACCGATCTACAATTTTCATGATTCAAATATAACGCATATAGTTATTTTACTATAAGTAATCTAATAACGAAAATTTCGAAATTTTCTTAGTATTTCTCTTCAATTACATATGTCTATTTTACTTAATATTTCAGTCAGCTTTAAGTAATTGCGAGTGTTGCCTTAATTATTAAAATAAATTTACTTTAGTTTTCTAATTATTTTTGTTTTATGGTTAGTTTTTTTGAAAAACTAACCATAAAACCAATTATTCTTCTTTTATGAAAATTCGACTTATTAATTTCATAGAAATACAAATCCAAACAATGAAATCTCGATAAAATATACTTCAGTTTCCTTGATCAATCCTTATTTTGACATTTTTTAAACTTTTTATGTGATTACTTTATTTATCGAAATGGAAATTTAACTAATTTTAAAATTAGTTAATAATTTGGCTCCTCAGTTGAAATAAGGCGAATTCATTAATTTCTTAATTTTCCAGCTAAGATTTTTTGACATTGTTAACAAATAGTTAGCGTACTACTCTACTAGATAAGTATTTTAAAATTGTTCAAAAACAAAACATTCATGCAGTTTTTGTTTTTTGAAATTTTTAGTATACGCTTTCCTAAAATTATAATATCTAATAAAAATTGTAACTATGGCAATACTGTAGATAATTAAAAAGAGAAGAGAGCAAGAAGCACAAATATAGAGCTAAGTATAGTTAAGTACATGAACATAAAATAAAATAATAAAATAGCAAAACAGGTCAGAAAGAGAAGTTCTTCTAATCTTATCGTTAAAAATAATAAAAATCATTATTTTTTCCCACGTGGAGTTCATGTTCGTTTCGTAAACAAAATTTATTCTCTGTTTTTCTCACAATATTATTCATCATCTTTTAAGAATTACATTAATTAATGAATATCAATTTCAAATTTCTTCGGCAAAATGTTTATATTATGAAAACAAAAATCTATTAATATAAGGTTGGCATTTTAAATTAATTTCATGTAAAATTGTAGAATGTACTTCACAATTATTGAGTGTTTTTATTCCGATATTAATTTTATAAAGATCAAATATGATTGCTATTATTCAGTGGAAAAAAATATGATTATTGCATTATTAACTACATAATTTTTGTTTTACGAGTAAATGTTCTCAAATATATAAATTTGTTAAAAATTTTAAATTTATGAATATATTAGAAGTATATAGGAACTAGAATATACACTACTAGAGGTTGAGAAGCATATCAAAATTTCAAATTTGTGAATTTGAGTTTTAAACGAAAAACAATGAAATTCATACTAAGGTGTCAACAGATTAATTAATGTATACGATATATTATTAAGACATACAGGGCTTCCTTACTCTTTTGTGTTTATCTAAAAATATTTTTGACCCATGAATGTAATAGATACAAGCTTGGCAGTTTGAACAAACAATCTTGTAGAGCTAAAAGGAACTAATAGAATATTAAAATATTAAATTGTTAATAGTATGGTATTTTAATTTAATAATATTATAGTATATAAGTATACTAATAATCTCCTTCATTCATTTAAATTTAAAGTAACATTCTCAATCAGAAGGTGCAAAATTTTATAAATCGTTATTGGCAAATCTTCAATAATTATTCAAAATTTTTTCTTCAAATTAAAAAAAAAATCTCAATATTATCTAATTTTCAATTAAACTTTAACTAAATTTCAGTTAATTAGTTAATTTTCAAGTAAATTGCTTCCAGAACAAACTACATAGTTTTTATATCACTTAATTATGTAGTTAGACAAAAGTTGTAGGGGTTTCATTGAAGAATCTTAAAATATTAGTTTGTTTAAAAACATTTGAATATTTTTAACAAAATTATCTTACCTAGTCTTGTAAAATTTTGCCGAAGCTGCTCCTTTTTATTATCCTAGACTTTAGATCTTTTTACAATTATCAATTTCAATATTTTCAACCATATTCTTCCAACTATTTTTTAATTTCGGTTTAAATTCTGCCTCCTTCGCAACAAATTCGATCTTCAAAATTGATTGCATATTGTTCAAAAGTGTATTTTTAAAAATAATTCAAAATCCGCTGTATGAAATTAAAATAATTCCACATTTTTTTGCAATTTCTGTACGTTTGTACTTTTATAATTTTCACTTCTTCATTATTTCTGCACAAGTTCCGGTTCATTTTTCTCAAATTCCTTTCATTATTTATTTATTTTCGTCAATTTTATTATTAATTTTGAAATTCTAATTTAATTCTAATTCTTTCTATATTTTTCTATACAAAATTTTGACAATTTTTGTTTTTATACGAAAATAATATGCTTGAGTTCGAATCCAAATTTTACCTTTTTTTAAAAAAAAAAATTTTTAAATTTTTCTTTTTTCATTTTGAATTGAAAATGAAAAAAAAAAAAATTTTATCCTCGTGAATATTTAAAAATTAAAAAAATTTTGAAAAATATATGTATACTATAATTTGGTGGTTTATATTAAGAATTTGTTCCTATATATTTTGTGTGAATGTTGTTGTGTTTGTTAGTTGTTGTGTGAATGTGTTATTAAATTAAGTTAAAAGTTTTCAAAACATTTTCTAGACTTAGATTTTTAGAATTGCAGTACGACCGCGAGGCTTGTGACTAGTGTCTGGTCAATTTTTAGACCGGACTTAGGTCTTGATCCGTCAAAATTTTGACATTTTTTGTGTTTATACAAAAAAAATATGCTTGAGTTCAAATCCAAATTTTACCTTTTTTTTTTAAAAAAAATTTGATATTTTCATTTTGAATTGAAAATGAAAAAAAAAAAAATTTTATCCTCGTGAATATTTAAAAATTAAAAAAATTTTGAAAAATATATGTATACTATAATTTGGTGGTTTATATTAAGAATTTGTTCCTATATATTTTGTGTGAATGTTGTTGTGTTTGTTAGTTGTTGTGTGAATGTGTTATTAGATTAAGTTAAAAGTTTTCAAAACAATTTCTATACTTAAGTTTTTAGAATTGGAGTATGACCGCACATGCTGTGGCTAGAAGCTGGTCAATTTTTAGACGGGACTTACGTCAAAATTTTGACATTTTTTGTTTTTATACGTAAATAATATGATTGAGTTCGAAGACAGATTTTACAATTTAAATTTTTTTTTTTTGTATTTTGAAGTTTTTTTGTAAAACATTAAAATTGTAGAAGAAAAAATTTTGTGATATCTAGAGACCTTTGTTGAAATCCAAATTTCTATTTCCAAATTAATATTTACATTTTTAATAGATAAACATAAATTTTATGAAAATTTTATTGGAATGAAAAAAAATTTATTTCAATTGAATGGAGGTGAAATAACTAACGTGAATTACGAGATTGGACAGAGAGTTTCGCGTTAACAGTTTTGAAGAATTTCAAGATAAAAAATTTGTATTAGAAGGAAGGGAGAATTAAACTGAACGAATAAATTCTAATTTTATACAGAATTACCCAATTAACGAAGGTTATAATAACGTTATTATTTAGGAAATTCTAAAGGAACAAAAGTTTAATTAAACAAGCACAATATTTTCAAGTTTTCAATTAGAGTGCGGTTTTCAAGCCGAAATTTTATCAAAAGTTCATTAAATCATATTAATAAGAATCATTAATGGCACACTTAATTAACATAAGCATTTATGTAATACTTATAGGTAAGATTATTATAAAGAGAAATTCATAAATGCATACCATGTTCATATTTCAATCATATTATATGTAAAACTTAGCATTTTATTTTGCTTCCCACAACAAACTTTTATTTCCATTAGTAACAATAATTTAATTAAGTATAAAATTGAGTAAAGCGAGTTGAATATTTGAAACACAAATTGCAAGAGAGAAGACGTAATTCATGGAGTGTACTGTGTAGTACAATGCAAGTACAGTACAAAACTTTAAAAAAAATTATTCAACACAATTTTTCTCAAAAGCTTTCCTCTATGAAAATTATAAATAATATTAAGTAACTTATTCATTTTATATCGACTCAGTAATTAGAATTGTGTATAATTAGAATCGTGTATTAATTGTGTTGTCTATATTATATTTAAGAATATAAAATTACAACATACATAATTTATATTAGTAACTTATAAATTCATAATCAACTTTATAATGATTCTTGCTCTTTGATATCATTATTATCTCCCACAAATAGAAATAGAATATTCACTATCGTAAGTAATTTAAAATTTATATGAATTTTCTTATAGAACTTTTCTCTTCAAATTGAGAAAATTTCAAGATATTTCTTATATGTAATTAAAATTTTCAAATTAAATAATATTAGAAATTATATAAATAGCTTCTCATTTGTGTAATTAAGAAAGTTAAACTATGTAATAACTAAAGGTGTTTTATGAATTCCAATAAAATTAATTACAGCAAAAAATTTCATTTAATTCATTCAAAATTATTAAAGATTTGTAATTATAATCAAAGCAATTGATATAGATTTTTACATGGTAATGAAACTTTTATTTTAAATAACACTTTATAATTTTATTATTAAAACGTTTATTAATAAATTTTTTTTTAAATATTTTTCAATATCTAATTTGTTTAAAGAATGTATTACAAATATATACGTGTTTCGTGAGAAAGCCTAATAATCTATACGAATACAGAAAATTAAATTAGATTAAATAGCACTAAAATCAAAATATTTTGAATATGTGCTAAATTCAAAAACACATAAATTAGTCAGTCACCTTGTTGATTTTTACTTGCACAGTAACATAATTTCTTCATAAACCACTTAAGCAACAAATGAAATTAATAAAAGCCTGAACTTATTAAATTTTCTTTAATAATTATTGTAAATGGCCAAGTCAATGAGGATTGACTTTAGAATGAAAAAAAAAATATTAATTTAATTTAAAAAAGAGGGAATTTATTGGAAACAAAGTATAAGTAAACTAGTATTTTTGCAATAAATGTTAATATTTAGTTAAGACTTCGACCTACTTGCATTTACATCCTTAAAAAAATCTGAATTTAACAAATTAAATGAAAAAATACCACGCTCAATTTATCAATAAAATTGATTGCAACAAACCACGCCAATATATTTTGAAAACACAGAAAGAAGTATAGGAATGTGTGGGAATATAATTTATACTTTTTATTCTACAGCAGTGTTACCAATATGTGCACAACAACGTCTCCATTTTTAGTATTACATAGATCATTTTTAGTATTTTAGATGTCCATTACAACGTCTCCATTTTTAGTATTACTTGGGGGCCACTTCAATACTGTTTTTACCATTATCCCACGCTAATTTTATACCTAATCTCCCTAAAAGTGAATTTCAAATTCAATAAAATTCTAAATAATTTTCATAAAAACATTTTGCGAATTATAAAATATTACTGTAATTAAAAAACCTTTTAAACAAAATTTTACACTTTAATTAAAATATTAATGAATTATAAATATATTTACATTATTAGTTGATTAAGAATTAAAAAATCTTAATGTCATTCTCATTATTGATATCATCATCATCAGTTCGTTTTCCAAAACATTTTATTAATTTATGTGGTAATGGTGGTCGTAAAATTTGTTCTCCATGTTCATCAATATAATCAGTATATTCCATTTCATATAAACAAACCATATTTAATTTTTCACATAATTTAATTGAATATACGCTAGTACAATCCAATGTAATTACAGGATATTTTAAATTTTTACATATTTTTATAAATTCTTTTATCATTTTAATGCCAATTGATTTACCTCTTGCATTTTGATGAACAGCTATTGCATGACAATGTATAACACTTTGACAATTAAAATATTCAAATACATTTGATCTAAATTCAATATATGATAAAAATTTTAACATTTTTGACCATGTTAAATTTTTTACACTATTTGATTCATCAAGTAAATGTTTAGCTTCACCAGGATATTTTGGTCCACCGATTAATACACCAACTAATTCCTTTGTAAAGATATTTTGATTTAAAATTTGATTCACATTTAAAGTATTAGTTTGTTTTTGTTGCTGTTCTTCTATTATATTAGTATTTTGATGATGGTGATAACTATTATCATTGTCATCGGCACTGCAGTCATCTAAAATTACATTTTTATTATTACAACATTTTTGTTTTTTAATTCTTTTATTATTGTTATTGTTATATAAAATTGTTGATGATATTTGATGATTACATTGGTTACGCTGATTACTGTTGCATTTAATGTTTTGTCCCTTTATTTGTTGTTGTTTCTGCATTTCATGCTTATTGTAATGGTATTCTTTGTTATGTTGATTTCGCGCTTCATGATTCAGAAAATTCATTTTAAAATCCTCGTTATTATTCCCTAGCATCAGAAAAGAGTTTTTGTTTTTTTTGTGTCTTGTATTTTTTATTTTTTATTATTTAAAAATAGTTTTTAGGAAGTTTTTTTGACTATAAAATTACCATAAATTTTAGTATAGGATTCCTGTTTTTTATGGTTATAGTAAACATCATAATCATCGTAATAGGCAATTATACAAGTACCGTAATTGATCCATGACAAAAGAAATTGTTCATCTTCTTCAGTTTGTTGAAATGGTTCAAGACCTAATGTTGTCGGTTCATATGGATAAAATGAAGAACGAAGTAGTTTTAAAATTGCATCACGATCAGATTCAATAGCAATACGTAATCTTATATTAGTCATTTTTAGAATTTAGAACGGTTAAAATTTATTGAACAGCGTATCAGTAATTATTATATATTAGGAGTTTGTGTGTATACAAAAAGAATTGAATTTTTCAAAATTTCCAGCTGCAAATTTAAAAACTTGGTAAATCACTTACTATCACGTCAACTACACAATTACTACTATAAAGCTAACTGCATTAAAATATCAAATGCTTTTCCTATTTATATACAGCTTTTGCATTAGCATTATGATAATTTTATTTAGTTACTTAGCTCTTATTTAATTTGCTATTAAAAAAAAAACGTTTTCTTAAAAAGACAGAATCGCTTTGATTAAAAATGTTAATCGATTTGGTTTTGAAGCTTTATTGTACTTATTAATTTTAATGAGATTTTTTATGATGTGTTTAATGTGATCTTATACAGAGTTACCTTGAATTAAAGCTAAAACTAAATTGCGCAAGAAAGTGGTTTTATATTTTTGAATCTAATAGTTTGACAGATAAACTGATTATTTTGAACCCAGTGATTTAGAAATTAAACAGTTAAAATTTTCCATTTAAAGGCAGCGAAATACTGAATATTAGTGAAAAAGACAATATTAACTGGAGTCTTACTTTATGTGGGATACAAATCTTAGAATTAATATTTCCACTGTGATGCTATTTTAGCAAACTTGTCTAAACTGTTTTTAGAGGAATTTTTGAAATTAAGCTAGTAAACGGTTTCGCCTTTTCCTCTTAGGAAATCGCCAATAAGAGCAAATTAACAATTCACTTACAGATTTTTTATTACTTTGTTGTTTTTGACTGTGTTTGTTTGTCTGTTCTTATGTGAGATAACTTATGAGATGACTCTTATTATTGTACAAATATTATTTTAAATTAATTTACAATTTTGTATGACATTTTCAAATCAAAAATTGCTCCAGGTTGATTTTAGAAGGTTTTTTTCTCTAAAATTTATACGAATATACCGAATTTTTAGTATTTAGCTCACCTAGACTGGATTTCCTTGTTCACTGATTGTGAATTTGGAATGTTCACGAATTTTCAGTGATTTTGAATTTCTAATGGCCTAATAGTTAATAAGAATCAACCGCAACACTAATATTTTCTGATTGGAATTTTCGGTCTTTAATTCTACTTTTATAGATTGACGGCGGACACGCGTACTAATAAATTATAAGTATAGTACATAAGGTAAGTGTAAATAAAAAGTACAATAATTACTGTAATTTGAAACTATCCACATAAAAATTCTGTTGTATGCATGTCGAAAATTCAACGACTGTGAAAATCGCGTTTTGAAAGCCTGATTGTACTGATACCGAATTTAGCACAGGTACATATAGTATTGACACATTTTGCTCAACTGCGATTCAACATGCTACAAAAAACCTAAAAAAGAAAAGCAAAACCAACAGCAAGATTAAAACGCATTCCATTCTAATAAGACATTATTATTTTGCAAAAACATTTACCTGTTATTTGTTGTGATCCATTATCCTTGGCCAGTGCAGACTTATGATCTTCATCTTGGTCCTCTTGATGTAAAATTCTATTCTGAAATAAAAATAAGAAATATTAGTACTTTATGCACAAAAACAACATAAAATAGATGAGGCCAGAATGTAAACAAATGCAATGTATGATGCGTTAACAAAATACATTGCAAATGGGTTCGGCACTCGCAAAAGACCACTTTATAAATATATTAAAACAATTTAATAACACTTATTTTGCTTTTAGGCACAATTTTAACTTTGAAAATTTATTTAAATAAAACAAAAAAAGAAAGAAGTGATCTTACCTTTGTTTTGGTATGCAATGGCAGCTGACATCTTGATTTATTTTAAAATAATTTTTGCACTACCTGACCGACCGAGTGTAGCCACAAATTATAAACGCTACAAAACATTACTTAGTAAACGAAGAAAATTTTAAAGTTAAATAGGTCACTTTGATCAAAATCATAAAACAGAAAAGGTGCAAAAAGAAAAAAAAAATACAATTGGGCATTGACTTCAAGTGTGAATACATTGTTCTTTTCTCTTTCCTTTTCGCCTTGAGATGTCACTAATCACTCGTAATGTTTTGTAGTGTTTATAATTTGTTGCTACACTCGGTCGGTCAGGTAGTGCAAAACTTATGTTAAAATAAATCAAGATGTCAGCTGCCATTGCATACCAAAACAAAGGTAAGATCACTTTTCTTTCTTTTTTTGTTTTATTTAAATAAATTTTCAAAGTTAAAATTGTGCCTAAAAGCAAAATAAATGTTATTAAAATGTTTTAATATATTTATAAAGTGTTCCTTTGCAAGTCCCGAACTCATTTGCAATGTATTTTGTTAATGCACCATACATTGCATTCGTTTACAATTTGGCCTCATCTATTTTGTGTTGTTTTTGTGCATAAAGTACTAATATTTCTTATTTTTATTTCAGAATAGAATTTTACATCAAGAGGACCAAGATGAGGACCAGAAGTCTGCACCGGCCAAGGATAATGAATCACAACAAGTAACAGGAAAATGTTTTTGCAAAATAATAATGTCTTATTAGAATGGGAATGCTTTTTATCCTGTTGTTAGTTTTGCTTTTCTTTTTAGGTTTTTTGTAGCATGTTGGACCACAGTTGAACATTCTCCCGGCATTGATTCATGCCATTGGTGAAGCTAGTATTTTTTTGAATTTCTTGTGGTCCGTGTTTCTGATCCACAAAATTACGTTTTGTGACGAAACACATTTGATGATAAGATAAGTTTAGTTCGTTGTGTTCCCATATAATTTTCAATTCAGGTACAAAACAATCTATTTCAGAAACTACTGAAATTTTGTTGAAAAATTAGATTTAGCATGTCAGTTGCCATTATTGCAAGTTTTTTCATGGCAGTAGAACTGTATATAAGAATAATTAAACTCGAATAATGTTGCCATATACGCAATTTTCTTAAAACGTATTTAATGAACGGCTTACTGTACTGAGCATAAAGTCCACATGAAAGCTTCTTGAAGAAAGAACTCGCTAAAAATTTTTTTTTAATATTTATTATTGCACTTACGTTAATGTTGCAAAAAAATTATATTTCTCTACTTTAAGTAAAAAATATTCATGATATGCATATTTTTCTTTTATGCAGGCTTTATGAAGTCATAAATTCTTATCGGATTTTCCATATTATTTTAATATTTTAAAAGATTTAGTTAAAAAAATGCATTCATACATAAAATATGAACTATTTTTTATGTAAATTAATTATAATTTAAATTATGATTGCCATTAGAAATTTTAATATTCTGTTGGACTAAAAATAGAAAGTAAATGCGAAATTGTGTAAGGTTTTTTTTTGTATTACAAATTTAATTAAACAATTTTAAATCAAGCAAATAAATAAATTAATATTACTGAGATGGCATAAAGCTTTTTCAATACTAGATTTGTGGAGCAAACTTTGCGTCTAGTGATGAAATTGAAGTACAATTTTTTCCAAGTAACTTAATCAAATCGCAACCGCTAATATATTGTTATTTAAAATATTACATTTTTTCATTTATTAAGTAGTAGCGCTATTACAACAAACCAATATAGGAGCTGGAAAATATTTCTAAAACATGTTGATTAGGTAGGTCAAATCAGAGGACATTTTGTAATTATATTTTGTTTTATATAACGAAACTATTGAAATTAAGTAGATTGAAAAACACTTTGTAGTTTTTTTATTCCACATTCATAGGCAGTATGTTAACAATAGTATATGTACATATGTGAGCCGTGAAGATTTCGTTCACAGAAGAAAGGATTTTCTGGGTGGCTCTGTTTTGGCAACAGAGAGGCTGCAAAGTATTGACCCTCAGAAGATATTAATATTATTGAAAAGATTGATCTTGAGGGAGTACTTTAAAAAATCAACAAATGGTGGATCGATGTGCTTTATTACCCGGTTCAATCTATTAATATTTTTACGTAAGTCAAACCTATTTAATCAATAAAAGTAAATTGATCATTACGGAAGAAAATGTGATCAGGTAAAATTTAACTTGTTTAATATACGGTTTTGGATGATTGGATATAACATTGAAGCTGCCGTTGAATGTTGCAGTTATTCTTATTTCAAATAATGTGAATGCTATTCAACATTACGTGCATAAGTAAAACGTTTTTCAAATGGTATAACGCCTACTATAACAGTGGCTCCAATTAGTTTATGTTTTTTTGAATACCGAAGTTTACCACACTCGTACAAAATTACAACACTATTGTTTTGGATATCTTTCGTAATTATGAAGAAAATATTGTTGAATGGCAATTCTTTTTCATCAAAATGATGACCCATTTTGCTACGTTCGTTTATACTAAATTAAACTAGTTTCGTTAAAATTATATAAAAGAGAAAATTCTTAAATATTCCCAAAATGTTTTAAAAAATCCACGGCTATTCCCGAAACAGTCGTTGCGATTACAAATAGGAAAGGTGCCTTAATTATATTCATATGCCCATATGTTACCAGTGATAACTTTATTTTTGAGAAGAACTGAATTAATTCTAAAGGTATATTCTATTGAACAATATTGTGTAATAGTGCTAAAATATGGAATAATCCAAACATCTAAAATTGGATTAATTTTTATTTCAACATTTGTGGTGTGTATAAGATTTCAAGGACTCTACATTGTATTTGTTCGTTTCGCATAAAAAAGTAGATATTCTTTACACTTTTATATACGAAACTTTCATGTAAAAGCAAAACAAGAGAATTTGAACGGGCTCTATATCCAAAATGTTTAAGACATTTTTTATATTTATTTAAATTTTACATATTTAAATACGAAAAATTCATTTTCATATTATTTTTCCATCATGCACGCACACACAGTCAGTAAACCTAAATTCTGGTGAATAAAATGACAAAAAGTAAAAAAAAAACTTATTCAAATCTAATAATATTTAAATTAAAAAGGAAACTAGGAATTAACAATAAAAGAGTTGTCCTTATCACAAAAATTCAATTGAAATTTTTATTTTTTTTTTGTATTGTACTATTATTTTATTGTATTTGTTGCAGCACTTACCTACATAACATCTACACTCTTACATATATTATATTACATGAAATGCATGTTGCGAATAATTGAAATTTTGAATATGCGTATATGGGGATGTGTTTGTTCACTATAATT